GCGCTCGCGGTCGCGCCGCCGCAGGCGCTCGGCGAAGGCGTCGCGCTCGCGCAGGTCCCGCAGCCGCTCCCGCTCCGACGCCTCCCACTCCTCCTCCGGCTCCTCGGGGGGCTCGGGGGCTCTTGGGGAGGGGGAAAAACAGATTGGGGGACCCCAAAAACCCCCCCGGGAGAGGGGTCTGAGCTGGGAGTGTGAGAAACCCAGGCAGGATGCAAAAAACGGGTGAAAATCCCAGCTGGGAACTTCAAAAACCAACTGGGAACCCCAAAATCCACCTGGGAACCCCAAAACCGAACTCGGGACACCCCAAATCCAACTGGGAACACCCCAAATCCACCTGGGAACCCCAAAATCCACCTGAGAACCCCAAAAACCAACTTGAGACACCCCAAAAACCAACTGGGAACCCCAAAAACCAACTCGGGACACCCAAAATCCATCTGGGAACCCCAAAAATCACTTGAGACACCAAAAACCAACTCAGGACACCCAAAATCCAACTGGGAACCCCAAAAACCAACTCGGGACACCCCAAATCCAACTGGGAACCCCAAAATCCACCTGGGAACCCCAAAATCCACCTGGGAACCCCAAAATCCACCTGGGAACCCCAAAAACCAACTCGGGACACCCAAAATCCATCTGGGAACCCCAAAAATCACTTGAGACACCAAAAACCAACTCAGGACACTCAAAATCCACCTGGGAACCCCAAAGTGCCACTCAGGAACCCCAAAATCCCACCTGGGAACCCCAAAAACCAACTCGGGACACCCCAAAATGCCACTCAGGAACCCCAAAATCCCACCTGGGAACCCCAAAACCAACTCGGGACACCCAAAATCCACCTGGGGACCCCAAAAACCACCTGGGACAGCCAAAACTCCACTGAGGAACCCCAAAATCCACCTGGGAACCCCAAAAACCAAGTTGGGACACCCAAAATGCCACTCAGGAACCCCAAAATCCCCTTGAGACACCAAAAATCCACTCGGGACACCCAAAATCCACCTGGGAACCCCAAAAACCAACTTGGGACACCCAAAATCCACCTGGGAACCCCAAAATACCACTCAGGAACCCCAAAATGCCACTCAGGAACCCCAAAATGCCACTTGGGACACCCAAAATCCACCTGGGAACCCCAAAATGCCACTCAGGAATGCCAAAATCCCACCTGGGACACCAAAAACCAACTCAGGACACCCCAAATCCACCTGGGAACCCCAAAAACCAACTCGGGACACCCAAAATCCACCTGGGACACCAAAATGCCACTCAGGAACCCCGAAATCCCACCTGGGACCCCCAAAAATCAACTTTGAACATCCAAAAATCCCACCTGGGACTCCCAAAATCCCACCTGCCACCTCAAAAACCAAGTCAGGACACCCAAAATCCCACCTGGGACCCCCAGAATCCCACCTGGCACTCCAAAAACCAACTCAGGACACCCCAAATCCACCTGGGAGCAGAAAAAACCTACCCAGGACACCAAAAAAAGGGTTGAAATCCCACCTGGGACCCCCAAAAACCAACTTGGGACACCCAAATCCACCTGGGAATCCCCAAATCCAACCTGGGAATTCCCAAAGCCCACCTGGGACCCCAAAAATCCCCCCATGAGCACAAAAACAAGGTGAAATTTGTGGGATTCGAGGGGTTTTTGGGGGGTTCTGGGAGGGGAAACCCCAAAATTCCAGCACCCAAAAGATCAGGGGGAGCCCCAAGAGGAAGACAGGACCCTCGAGACCCCCCAAAACTGGGGTGACCCCAAAACCCAGGGGGTCCCTGAGCCCTGGTGGTGACCCCAAAATCCAGGGGTCACTTCTGGCGACCCCCAAGGGCAGCAGTGACCATCGAGACCCCCCAAAATTTGGGGATTTCCCCCCAAAACCCCCCCTCTACTCACGGCGGGGGCTCCGGCGTTGCTGCGGGGGTCTCGGGGGGGGACTCGGAGCGGTGACGTCGCCGCAGGTGTCGCCGTCGGGGGCGTGGCTCATCCTGGGCGTGGTCGCGGGCGGGGCCCGGCCCCTCCTCCTCGTCGCTCTCCACCAATCGGTAGCCGCGGTTCTGGCGCTGCAGCTCCAGCGCCGCCCGCTCGGCCGCGCGCCCGGGGGGCTCCCGGGGGGCTTCACGGGGCACCTGACGGGGGGCGGGGCCAGGGCACACCTGAGCCAGGTGAGGACGGCCACGCCCACTTGGCCACGCCCACTTAAGCATAGCCACAATGGCCGTGCCCACTTGACCACGCCCACTTAAGCATACTGGGAACCCCAAAATCCACCTGGGAACCCCAAAATCCACCTGGGAACCCCAAAATCCACCTGGGAACCCCAAAATCCACCTGGGAACCCCAAAAACCAACTCGGGACACCCAAAATCCAACTGGGAACACCCCAAATCCAACTGGGAACCCCAAAATGCCACTCAGGAACCCCAAAATCCCACCTGGGAACCCCAAAAACCAACTCGGGACACCCCAGAAACCAACTCGGGACACCCCAAATCCACCTGGGAACCCCAAAATCCACCTGAGAACCCCAAAAACCAACTCGGGACACCCAAAATCCACCTGGGACACCAAAATCCACTTGAGACACCAAAAACCAACTCAGGACACTCAAAATCCACCTGGGAACCCCAAAGTGCCACTCAGGAACCCCAAAATCCCACCTGGGAACCCCAAAAACCAACTCGGGACACCCCAAATCCAACTGGGAACCCCAAAATCCACCTGGGAACCCCAAAAACCAACTTGGGACACCCAAAATCCACCTGGGAACCCCAAAATACCACTCAGGAACCCCAAAATGCCACTTGGGACACCCAAAATCCACCTGGGAACCCCAAAATACCACTCAGGAACCCCAAAATGCCACTTGGGACACCCAAAATCCACCTGGGAACCCCAAAATACCACTCAGGAACCCCAAAATGCCACTTGGGACACCCAAAATCCACCTGGGAACCCCAAAATGCCACTAAAGAAACCCAAAATCCCACCTGGGACACCAAAAACCAACTCAGGACACCCCAAATCCACCTGGGAACCCCAAAAACCAACTCGGGACACCCAAAATCCACCTGGGACACCAAAATGCCACTCAGGAACCCCGAAATCCCACCTGGGACCCCCAAAAATCAACTTTGAACATCCAAAAATCCCACCTGGGACTCCCAAAATCCCACCTGCCACCTCAAAAACCAAGTCAGGACACCCAAAATCCCACCTGGGACCCCCAAAATCCCACCTGGCACTCCAAAAACCAACTCAGGACACCCCAAATCCACCTGGGAGCAGAAAAAACCTACCCAGGACACCAAAAAAAGGGTTGAAATCCCACCTGGGACCCCCAAAAACCAACTTGGGACACCCAAATCCACCTGGGAATCCCCAAATCCAACCTGGGAATTCCCAAAGCCCACCTGGGACCCCAAAAATCCCCCCATGAGCACAAAAACAAGGTGAAATTTGTGGGATTCGAGGGGTTTTTGGGGGGTTCTGGGAGGGGAAACCCCAAAATTCCAGCACCCAAAAGATCAGGGGGAGCCCCAAGAGGAAGACAGGACCCTCGAGACCCCCCAAAACTGGGGTGACCCCAAAACCCAGGGGGTCCCTGAGCCCTGGTGGTGACCCCAAAATCCAGGGGTCACTTCTGGCGACCCCCAAGGGCAGCAGTGACCCCCGAGACCCCCCAAAATTTGGGGATTTCCCCCCAAAACCCCCCCTCTACTCACGGCGGGGGCTCCGGCGTTGCTGCGGGGGTCTCGGGGGGGGACTCGGAGCGGTGACGTCGCCGCAGGTGTCGCCGTCGGGGGCGTGGCTCATCCTGGGCGTGGTCGCGGGCGGGGCCCGGCCCCTCCTCCTCGTCGCTCTCCACCAATCGGTAGCCGCGGTTCTGGCGCTGCAGCTCCAGCGCCGCCCGCTCGGCCGCGCGCCCGGGGGGCTCCCGGGGGGCTTCACGGGGCACCTGACGGGGGGCGGGGCCAGGGCACACCTGAGCCAGGTGAGGACGGCCACGCCCACTTGGCCACGCCCACTTAAGCATAGCCACAATGGCCGTGCCCACTTGACCACGCCCACTTAAGCATAACCAGAATGGCTATGCCCACTTAGCCACACCCACTTAAGCATAGCCACAATGGCCACGCCCACTTGGACACACCCAGAGTGGCCACGCCCACTTACTCATACCCGGAATGGCCACACCTGCTTGGCCACACCCCAAAATAGCCACACCTCCTTAGCCACACCCAATATGGCCACACCTAGGTAACCACACCCCAAATGGCCACACCTGTTTGGCCACACCCACTTAACCATACAGAAAATGGCCACACCTCCTTAGCCACACCCAACACGGCCACACCCACTTATACCCAAGATGGCCACACCCACATAACCACACCTAATATGGCCACGCCTCACTGGGCCACACCCAAAAAGGGCCACATCCATTGCAAGCCAGAGCTCTCATCCTGATTGGTTGGTCTGTGTGTGAGCCACGCCCAGTTGTGGTGAGGTAATCATTGAGGTTGGTTAAACCACGCCCACTCCTGACTGCACCTTATCTTTTAGCCCCACCCCTTCTCGATTTGCCACGCCCTCAGCACTAAATATGGTGAGTCCAAACCACGCCCACTCCCCTCAGGCCACGCCTCCATCTCCATACAAAGCCACCTCCCCTCACACAAGCCCCGCCCACTCTCCCCTCACACAAGCTCCGCCCACTCCCATTTTCGCCCCTCACACACAAGCCCCGCCCCCTTCCCCCTCTCCCCTCACCAATTCCCGCCCACCTTGTCCCACAGCTGGCGCGCGAACTCGCGCACGCGCGGCTCCTCCACGCGCAGGGCCTCGGTCTCGCGCAGCCGCTCCAGCAGCTCCTCCAGGCTCCGGCTGCGCCGCGCCAGCGCCACCAGGAAGGCGGGGACATGGCGGGCGCTGAGGCCCAGCAGCTCCTGCAGCTGCCCGGACACCCAGCGCTCCAGGGCCGCCGTGGCCGCCATGGCCGCTCCTGCTTCTTCCTCCTCCTTCTCCTCCCCTCACGGAATCGCCGCCCAATCAGCGTCTAGCGCGGGAAAGCCTCGGCCAATCAGCGCCAGGGTAGCGCGCAGCGGGTGAGCTCGGCCAATCAGAGCGAGGCCGCGCCCACTAACGGGGTTACCGTAACGCCGCGAGAGCGCGGGCGGTTCTACCGTAACGCCGCGTTGAGAAGCGCAATCAATTCGGCATTTGGGATGCTGGGCCCGAAATTCCCGGTTTTATCCCAAAAATTCCCGGTTTTATCCCCAAAATTCCCGTTTTTATCCTTAAAACCCCCATTTGTATCCCCACAATCCATCAATCTCCTCTCTCCCCCGGAAATTCGTCGCTGCTTTCCCTAAATCTGTGTTTTTCCCCTCAGAAATCCCCTCCACCCTCAACTCCCCCCCGCTCCGAAATTCCCAAAAATCCCCAAATTTTTCTCCCCAAAATCCGGGATTTTCCCACAAAATCCCAAGGATCTCCTTTTCCCTCGGGGATCCCCCGCTCCCTTCACAAAACTTTGCTTTTTTTTATGACTCAAAACGTTTTTACTACAAAAAACCTTCCCAAAAAAAAACAGCGTTCGTACAAAAAACCAACATTTTCCCTGCAAATCCCGGATTTCTGTGGGAATGAGGCGCCGGGACCCCAAATTTTGGGGCACCAGGACCAACAAAGATCCCAAACCCGAAGTTTTCCGTTTGCAGGAGACGTTTTGGGGTGCCAGGACCCCCAAATTTGGGGATTTTGGGGTTTTTGGGATCCCCGAAGTCCAGAACTTTGGAGATTTGGGGATCCCAAACTTGAGAAATTTGTGGGTTTTGGGGTCAGCCGTTGGGGTTCTGCCTCTTCCAGAAGCGTTTGACGTCGCGGTGCCCCAGTAACCCCAAATTTGGAGATTTTGGGGTTTTTTGGACCCCAAACTCTGGGATTTTGGGATCCCAAACTCGGAGATTTCGGGGATTTTAGGATCCCAGACTCCGGGATTTTGTGGATTTTGTAGTTTTTGGGGTCAGCCGTTGTGTTTCTGCCTCTTCCAGAAGCGTTTGATGTCGCGGTGCCCCAGTAACCCCAAATTTGGATATTCTTGACCCCAAACTCTGGAATTTTGGGTATTTTGGGGTTTTTGGGGACCAGGATTTTGTGGATTTTGTGGTTTTTGGGGTCAGCCGTTGTGTTTCTGCCTCTTCCAGAAGCGTTTGATGTCGGGGTGCCCCAGTAACCCCAAATTTGGATATTCTTGACCCCAAACTCTGGGATTTTGGGTATTTTGGGGTCTTTGGGGACTCCAAACTCCGGGATTTTGTGGATTTTGTGGTTTTTGGGGTCAGCCGTTGTGTTTCTGCCTCTTCCAGAAGCGTTTGATGTCGGGGTGCCCCAGTAACCCCAAATTTGGATATTCTTGACCCCAAACTCCGGGATTTCGGGTATTTTGGGGTTTTTGGGGACCCCAAACTCCGGGATTTTGTAGTTTTTGGGGTCAGCCGTTGTGTTTCTGCCTCTTCCAGAAGCGTTTGACGTCGGGGTGGCCGGCGGGGGTGACGACCATCAGGCGCCGCGCGGGGTTCTCGAACACCAGCACGCCCAGGGCGCGGGCGTGGTCCCGCAGCACCTCGAAATCCACCTGGGACAGGAACTGGTTGTACAGCACACCTGGGGAGGGGACAGCCTTGGGGACACCGCTGGGGTGGTGGCACCTGACCCCTTTGGTGGCACCTCCCACCTTGGGGACATCACCAGGATTGGCATTTCCTGTTGGGGACATCCCTAGGGTGGCACCTCCCTCCTTGTGATGTCACCTCCCCGCTTGGGGACATGGTCAGGATTGGCATTTCCCTTTGGGGACATCCCCATAGTGTCACCTCCCCCCTTGGGGACATGGTCTGTGGTGCCACCTCCCTGATTGTGGCATCACCTCGACATTCTGGTGTCACCTCCCCTCCTTGGGGACATCCCCAGGGTGCCCACCACCCCCTTGGGGACACGGCCTCTGGTGTCACCTCCCCCCTTGTGGTGTCACCTCCCTCCTTGGGGACACCCTCAGGATCCTCATTTCCCCTTGGGGACATCCCCAGGGCGTCACCTCCCCCTTGGGGACACTTTCAGAACCCTCTGGGGACACCCTGGGGACACCTTGGTGGTGACACTCTGAGGACACCCTGGTGACACTTTGGGGACACTATGGGGACATTTGGGGACATCTGGGGACACTGACCCTCCGAGAAGCGCAGCCGGTCCCGCTCGAGCTCCCAGAGCCGGATCTGGTCCGTGATGGTCGGGGGCAGCACCGGGCTCTGGGGACAGGGACAGGGACATGGGGACAGGGACATGGGGACAGGCACAGGGACATGGGGACAGGGACACGGTGGGGACACGGGGACAGGGACATGGGGACAGCAGGGACACAGGGACACGGTGGGGACACGGGGACAGGGACACGGTGGGGACACGGGGACAGGGACACGGGGACAGGGACACAGTGAGGACACAGGGACAGGGACACAAGGACACGGTGGGGACACAAGGACAGGGACACAGTGGGGACACGGGGACAGGGACACAGGGACGGACACGGTGGGGACACGGGGGGGACACAAGCACAGGGAGAGGGACACAGAGGACAGGACAGGGACACAGGGGACAGGGGCAGGGACACAGGGGACAGGGGCAGGGACAGTGGGGACACAGGGGACAGGGACACAGAGGGGACAGTGGGGTCAGGGACAGGGGGACAGTGGGGTGTCCCAGGAATGGGATTTAGGACCCCCCAGAGGATTTGGGACTCTCCCAGAATGGATTTGGGATCCCCAAATTCAGGACACCCGTTGGTGTCACCTGCTCGGCGGTGATGCCGTTGGCGATGGCCGCCTGCACGCTGTCCCTTGTCACCTGTGCCACCACCAGGTTGGGGAAGCGATAGAGCAGCTCCGAGAAGAGCGCGATGAGGGCCACCTGCAGCTCCGAGTCTGGGACACGGGGACAGGGGACATGTGTCCCCATGTCCCCAGTGTCCCCATGTCCCCAGTGTCCCCATGTCCCCAGTGTCCCCATGTCCCCAGGTGTCACCTGTGTAGGCGTAGATGCGGTAGTTGGTCTCCACCAGGATGAAGCCGTGTCCGTCGGGCTCTGTCCCCAGTGTCCCCAGCGATGTCCCCAGCGATGTCCCCGCTGTCCCTGAGGCCAGCGCGATGGCCAGCCGGGTCGGGTAGAACCGCCGCGACTTCCGCTGGGGACAGGGGGACACCGTGTCCCCAAGTGTCCCCAGGAGCTGTCCCCAGTGTCCCCAAGTGTCCCCAAAGGGGCCAAGAGCTGTCCTTGTTGTCCCCAGGAGCTGTCCCCAGTGTCCCCAAGTGTCCCCAGGTCAGTCCTGGCACCTCCCAGTCCCTCCCAGTGTCCCCTCAATGCCCTCCCAGTGTCCCAGTGTCCCCACATGTCCCCTCCCAGTGTCCCCAGTGTCCCCAGTCCCCTCTCAGTGTCCCCATGTCCCCTTCCAGTGCCTCCCAATATCCCCAGTATCCCCTCCCAGTCACTCCCAGTGTCCCCTCCCAGAGTCCCTGTGTCCCCTCCCAGTGTCCCCAGTGTCCCCTCCCAGTGTCCCCAGTGTCCCCTCCCAGTCACTCCCAGTGTCCCCAGTGTCCCCTCTCAGTGTCCCCATGTCCCCTCCCAGTGCTCCCAGTGCCTCCCAATGTCCCCAGTGTCCCCGTGTCCCCTCCCAGTGTCCCCAGTCCCCTCCCAGTGCTCCCAGTGCCTCCCAATGTCCCCAGTGTCCCCGTGTCCCCTCCCAGTGTCTCTCCCCCCACGCCCCCCCCCGGTCTCCCCAGTGCCCCCAGTCCCCTCCCAGTGTCCCCAGTGTCCCCAGTCCCCTCCCAGTGTCCCCAGTCCCCTCCCAGTGCTCCCAGTGTCCCCTCCCAGTCACTCCCAGTGTCCCCAGTGTCCCCAGTTCCCTCCCAGTGTCCCAGTGTCCCCTCCCAGTGCTCCCAGTGCTCCCAGTTACCTTTCTCTGGAACACCAGCCCGAACTCGCGCAGGTGCTGCAGGAACGTCAGCAGCGACTCGCTCATCCCCTCCACCGAGTAGTCCTGGCACCAGTTCCCACCAGTTCGGACCAGTTCCGACCAGTTCACACCAGTTCCCACCAGTTCCGACCAGTTTGGACCAGTTCACACCAGTTCACTCCCAGTTCACACCCAGTTATCCCCAGTAACCACCAAAATATCCTCGGTTCTCCAGGAACAGCCCTGGAACACTCCCAGTTCAAACCAGTTCATCCCAGTCCCCCCCATTTCCCCCCCAATCCCCCCCA